AAGGGATAAATTAATACTATATTAGGTAGGACTATTATTAGCTTTTATTATAGTTAAGCAGTAAATATAGCCCTATAAGTACTATAAAGTAAACTAAAGGCTATATAAGTTAACTAAAAGCTTTTAATATAAACTTAATTACTATATAGAGAGGCTAAATAAAGTATTAAATAAGATACTTAAGTGGCTTAACAGTATTAACCTAATTAAGCCAGTATTAACTCTATTTAGCTAAAAGCAGCAGTTAAATATAATAAATAGGTATAATATATACTAGCAGCAGTATTTATACTATTATATTTAGATCTAGCCACTTAAGTGCAATAAAGTTAAGGCAGAATATAATATTTAATTTACTAAAGACTAATAAAATTCTCTAGCTAATATTATTTAGTAATTTAATACTATTATAGATAAAAGGAAGAAGTAAAGGCAGTAATAGGTCTTAAAGGTCAGTAAAGAAAGTAATAATAATAAAAGAAATACTAAAAATAGAAAAAAAAAAGACCTTAATAAAAAGGCACTTAATAAGGCTATTTTTAACTTTTATATTAAGTTAATTAAATAAAAACTTAAAAAAAAGCAGTATTATAACTTACTGCTTTATTTTATAGCTATATTAAATATTAAGAAGGATAGTATATAGGTTCTATCTTATATATATACTTAATTTCTTACTGGCTTTTTATAATATAGGTAGATTTTAATACTAAAGTACTTCTTTAAGGATAACCTATATAACTCTAAAGATTTAACTTATAATATAAGTTTTATAGCTATTAATTAATTCTAAAAGGGTTATTATAATTAGCTTATAACTAGCTTATATATACTATTTAGTATTATTATTTAGTAAATAATATATAGATAAGGCTACTGTAATTAAAAAGGTAAGTAAGTAAGGATACTATAAAATAGTAATAATATAATACTTAACTATTTAGGTAATAAAATTACTATAAGTAGCTTTTAGTAGATAGTGCAGGCACTTATATAAAAAGCTAAAGGCTAGCTAAATAAGCTTATAGGCAGGTAATAGAATTAAATCTATAAAATAATATAGTTATAGGATATTACTAATAGTTTAGTGTTTAAAGGCCTGAGGCAATTATTTATAATAAACTAAAGAAATATATAGCTAAAGCTAGATATTAAGAAGTTAATAAGGCTAGTAGGT